CTTACTGACTGTGACATTAAAAGCAGGTGTATGAGAACCGATTCTAATTGCTTCACTAACGATTGTGAAACGAGGACAGAGATGCCGAGGTTAACACCTCACGAAAGACAACGTGCACTAGGCATGATTCAGGTTGGCACCAGCAGCAGGGATATTGCTCGACAACTTGGACATGGCCACTCCACTATCGTTAGGCTTCATAGACGACATCAGTAAGCAGGCAGCACCCGTGACCTTCAATGATCATGGCAACAACGTGTTACGACGCTCCATCAGGATCACCATATTGACCTTGTCCATATCAGTGATTGAACACTGCCGACTGCCAGGACTGCTGCACTAGTTTAAGGTTGACGTGGGGGTCATCAGCGCTGACTCCATGCGACACCGTCTACACGCTACAGGGCTCCATGCTCGACGTCCTTATGTTGGACCAGTTCTGACTGACAGACACCGTAATGAGCGTATACAATGGGCTAGAAGGCATTTTCAGTAAAGGTCACAACAATGGCATGGTGTGGTAGTCACTGACGAGTCATGTCTTCATCTACGTAATGCTGACGGCCGATTACGTGTTTGGCGTAGACGTGGTGAACGTTATGCTGATGAGTGTGTGTCAGACAGACCTCTGGGTGGTGGGAGTGTCATGGTCTGGGGTGGAATAAATCACAATCACATGACTGCCTTCATGTCTGTCAAGAGAGAGTTAATGCCCTTTATTACCGTGAGCAGATTCTTCAGAATCACATCATATCTGTCTTCAATCACCACCAAGATGCCCATACTTTTCAACAGGACAACGCACGGGCACACACAACAAGACTTTCCATGCAGTATCTGGCCCAGCAACATATCCAGGTTATTCATTGGCCAGCACAGTCGCCATATGTATCCCCCCATGGACCACTTGTAGGAGGAAATTGGTCAAAGTCTTTCGCGGCGACAACAGATGCGAAACATCCTTGAACTTGAGGCTGCACTACTGCAGAAGTGGAATGCCATCCTTCAGAACTCTATTCGGACGCTTATTTACTCAATGAGGAGACGTTGAACTGCATGTGTCAATGCAAATGGCGGCCACACGCGATAGTGACTTTTCGATTTGACCTCACGTGTGTTTGATCCTTTCTGACTGAGGAACATTTCAATGAATGAGCGTCCTTTCTGTGTTGTTGTTTTTGTCAGTTGTCCATCTGTTATTATCCACTCAAAAATATCAATTCCTTACACGTGCTTTTAATAATCTGAACTTATAAGTGGTGGTATCTCTATGTTCAAGAGGTATCAGACCCGTGAAGGTCCGGGTTAGAATATTGATCTTCAGTAACCCATGCTTGTCGTAAGAGGAGACTAACGGGATCGGGTGGTCAGGCTCGCTGACTTGGTTGACACCTGTCATCGGTTCCCATCTGCGCAGATCACTGTTGATCACTGGATTGTCTGGTCCAGACTCGATTATTCACAGACCGCCTCCATATAGCTGGAATATTGCTGAGTGGGGCGTAAAATTAAACTCACTCACTCACTCAATAGGTATCACCTGTTAGGTTCTTGACCATCACAATGGTTATGATTATTAAAATTATGATTGCGATTTGGTGGAGGGTGATTTGCGTTCATCATGGCACATCACTAATTACTTCTCTAGGACCAAACTCACCTTAAAATAAATGCAGTGATGTGTAATAATTTTGGCGTTAAATATGTTCATTGGTTTACCTGTATGTGTTTTGGTACGCATCTTAAGGTTTACTGTTGTCTACATGTTGTGAACGTAACGGCTGTCTGTGAAGTGCCTGGGTGAGTGAAGAACCGCTGGCAGCAAACACAAACTGGACCAGACAAACGTGTGGCCTTATTGTGTTAGGCCCGCAGTGTCAGGGCTTGATGACTTACAATAAAAACAATGCTGCATATGACCGACATATGATGGCTGTCAACGGAATGCTGGGAATTTCGTCTTCAGTAAGACTGATACACTCCGTGGCTCCGGCTCACGTCATGCTTGCAGGCCACACGTCCGCCCTGCCTTGTCGTGACATGCCGGGGAGTTTCGTGTCATGCACAGGTAACCTGTATCAGTACATCACAGGGTTACAGGGAGGCCATCAATCAGCACCTGTCAATAACATCGTCGCTGCTGTTCTGTTTCCCAGCGGGCATATGAATACTGGACTCATGTCGTCTTAGCGTAAAGTAACATCGCATATGCATCATGACGTATACACATCATACCTCACATTTTCATTTGGAATGACATTTTCACATTTTTATGTACATTTTGTACATCAATTTCAGTTAGAAGTTTTAAGTAATCTGTCCTTTACACTCAAGGTTGAGACACGAGTCTTCAAGTACAGAAGGAATACAAGTATGCATGTTTGCACTGGGGTGCAGTGGTTATGCAGGAGACGTGAGAAGAAAGAACGTTAATTGTTGACACAGTCAGGCTTGTAAAGCAGCATGCCGGGTTTTTCCAAAAATGATCTGACTGTATGCTATTTCTGATGATTGTCTCAGTTCAGGAAGTACCACATCAACTGCGTCAACTACATTCTTTGTTATCTTCTGATAATTCACCGCCGCCATATAGCTGGAATGTTGCGGCGTAAAACTAAACTCATTCATTCATTCACCGAAGAAATTGAGAGAGAGGTTGATCACGATGCTCGCGTAGATGAAGATGTTTGATGTCAGCAACTGTTGATCACCGTGCCCGTCGCATCATGCCGTGTCTACTCCGGACCGATTACTGGAGGTGGGGAAAAGTGACATGGACCGATGGGGTCAAACATATTTACGTTGACGTATATGGAACTCTCTGCACGCATGGATGGATGGATGCTTCTATGTATGCTTGTGTGTGTGTATGTATGTATGTATGTATGTATGTATGTATGTATGTATGTATGTATGTATGTATGTATGTATGTATGTATGTATGTATGTATGTATGTGTATGTATGGATGTATGTATGTATGTATGTATGTATGTATGTATGTATGTATGTATGTATGTATGTATGTATGTATGTATGTATGTATGTATGTATGTATGTATGTATGTATGTATGTATGTATGTATGTATGTGTATTTGTACCTGTGTCTGTGTGTGCGTGCATGTGTGCCAGTGTTTGTGTACCCGTGAAGATCCGGGTTAGAATTGGCCTTCAACAACCCGTATGAGGCGACTAACGGGATCGGGTGGTCAGGTTCGTTGCCTGGGTTGACACATGTCATCGGTTCCCAATTGCGTAGATCGATGTTCATGCTGTTGATCCTTGAATTGTTTGGTCCAGAGTCGATTATTTACAGACCGCCGCCATATAGCTGGAATATTGCTGAGTGCGGCGTAAAACTAAATTCACCCACTCACTCACTGTGTTTGTGAGTGTATGTCAGTGTCCGTGTTAGTCTCTGTGTCAACTAACAGTCAAAATTTGGGCAAAAGCCATGCAGTTATAACCACATTGCGCCAGATAATCCTTGTTCTATCCTTTTGATACCTACAAGCAGGGCACTCACACGCAGCATCATTCAACCTGTTTAATAATAAATGACATATTAAATGGTATGTCCTTAAGGTCAGTACAAGTATGTGGGTAATATAACCAGTTTCTAGACATTCTATGCACATGATGACATTCACTTCGATTGGGTCATCCCAGTTTCGAGACAAGCAGTGTGGTAGTAGTCTTCAGGGACCGCTTCTACAGCGACGGATTTATACGGACAGGATAGTGTTTGAGCTATCGATTTGTGAGTTTACATTTCGTGCATCCTGCATAAACCGCTCATCACCCTGACGTTTTTTAGCCTGTTTATGAAACATACATACTGATGTGCATATTTTTTAAGGGACTGTATTCTTGAAATGACGTCAATACTGACAGATATTACAGTAACTTCAATATTCCTGGGGTCACACTTGGGAATTACTTTGCTGGAATACATACAGAAGCGTTGTTTCTTGCCATTTAGACAGTTTGATCTTAAACTTCACGTTTTTATTGTGCTTCGAGAAAGTCTCAGCAGCTTGAGTGTGACAGCGAGCCTGTGCAGGAATAACTTCTCAACGACCAATTCCAGTAAACAAAAGGAAGAATCGCCAATCAACACTATCCACTCGAGACACTATCAACACTATCCACTCGAGACACCATCAGCACTATCCACTCGAGACACTATCAACACTATCCACTCGAGACACTATCAACACTATCCACTCGATCCATCTCTAGACTGTTAGTAATAATATTCGTCAAACAATTTACCTCAGTATCTGTCTGACACATCTATATAAATGTCTTTCGCGACAATCAGAGAAATAGATAAATAACACCAGGAAACAGCCACGGCTTTTTGAACATCTTACGAAATTGTTTTGGTCATGTTGAGGTCCTGTACGCCTCGTGGAAGTTTTACATCGCTGTGACAATAGTTCTTTTACTGACTGACTGGGGCAGTTCGAACATTTCTCTAACTATCCAATGGTATTGTCTAAATACGTCTATTGCAAGTACGAAACAGTTTACCATTGGAAGGACTTGGGCAGCACGTACACTCATGGCACTAGTGGAGCTATCGTTCATACTCAGCGAAATAGCAGGTTGTTGTGGGGCTGTCAGTATTAGCATATAGTAAAGCATGCAAAATGAAATTTTGTGTACTTCCCACGAGTTATAACGGTGATTACAAGAATTGACATTCACTCTATATTGGAATATATAACTCCCAGAGTAAAGACGGATCTGTATTTAGACCTGTACTTGCAACTCATAGTGGGAGGACACGAACCCACAAAGTGCGAAAGCCGATTCTTCATTGTACAATTTGCACACAAAAATGTTAAGTCCAGTGATGTACGGATGCGCAAAGAGAATTGCTGGAAGTGGCGTAAAATCATTCTTCATCCCCAGAATCACAGTGCTTCCGACCGCAAGATGCAGCATGGGAATTTTGCACGATATTTTAACTGCATAACAGAAATAACAATGTATTCCTTTTAAGATTTGTTTGTACAAACATGATTTTAATCATGGAAGACAGAATGAAAAACAGTTGCTAATATAACATGTGAGCAATATAATTGTGACAGCCAGAACAGGACTTTAAAACATGTGTAAACTGTACACAAAAGTGGTTTTACTGACGCTCTCGTCTGTGGTACTCGCTATATACAGACACGGAGCTAAGGTAGCTGATTGCAATATTGATCAGGCTGCCTTACAAGTTGCAGTTGGTTTAATTGGATGGTCGACCTGGCCGAAAACAACCAAACAACCGATCCACATTACGTTAATGTCGGATGAGTATCCTGTCTGGAGCCGTGTGATAAGGTTGAAAACAAGGACAGGTAGGTTTGAATTGTTACATCTGTGCCGGGTGTCCGTCCACAACCAAAACAGTTCTTGTCGTGGTTTCTAAGTAGCAATACAAAACCAACGTAAGTCTGAACAAGCAAGGACACATGCTTTCACACCGCGTGTAAGTGAGTTACCGTCAAGCTACTGGAAGCTGTCGCATCCGTATAGCTCAATCTGACTCCCTAGACATACGTACTACCAACATAGGATTCATAGACAGGGTTCTCTAGAACTGCATCGGTATTGAGTGACGTTAGACCTGTCGGTACGGGAGCGTTCGGCCCAAAGAAAATGATTGTACTAGTGACGTCGCCATCATCAGTTGGGGGATTCAAAAGAGGTGTGTACGTTTCCGAATCCGGCGTCATCGGACAGTCGTTCCCCCTTATCTCGGGGCTGAAGTTGTATTGCTCGTACATGATGTCGTCAACAGCGCCCACGTGAGATCGGGCCGCCCCTTCGTTGTAGAGAAGCATACTTCCCGGGCTATTCTCCGCCCCTTCACTCACCTCCGACAACTTTCGGACCTGTGGTGTGAGGCGCCTGTGGAAAGGGGGTCTGATGCGCGAGTGTTGAACGCCATAGATGAGAGGGAGACTAGGGGGTGGCGAACGATAGGGGACCATCATCGACGTCATGGGATGTTTCCTGAAACATTGAGGGGTATATTTATTCCTGAGATTTTCTGTTTAAACGCTGAGTTTGTAGAGACAGTGTTCGCTGTTGTTTATCGCCGAACCCTGGAATGGCTGTTTCCATTTTATACTCGAGTCTAGAGCAAACAATCCACAGACCGATATTATGACCAACGTTCACGCCGTTGGAGGAGTACTGGGGAGGGTGGGTGGGTGGGTGTCAGGGGTACTTGGACTAACCTTTTATCATCATTGTCTTTCTCTACATAATATATTTTTAGTTTAATCTGGAAATAACCTGAGTCAGAACCAAGATGATATTTTATATATTGACGCATGTCAGGTTGCGGGGATGTGACTGGACCCGTGCCCAGTCGACCTTTGTTGTAATTCTATCAAGAGTGAGTGAGTGAGTATGGCTTTACGCCGCTTTTAGTAATATTCCATCAATATCAATATCCATCCCCACGGCGGGAACACCAGAAATGGCTTCACACATTGCACCCATGTGGGGAATCGAACCCCTGTCTTCGGCGTTACGAGCGAACGCTTTAATCACTCGGCTACCCGACCGCCCATCTATCAAGAAGCATCAAAGCGTATGGGAATGTGAACCTCTAATCCCATACTGATGACGTCAAGCCGGCAACAAACAGGGTTTAGTGGAGCAGGATTTTGCTTGGTCGCTGAATTTCATTCTGTTTTGTCATGACAGATTCTCATCATGGGAACGTTCTAACCTGAACTTGACAACTGCGACACCAACAGCGAGGACAATGACGACACATACGACGTATATAATGACGATGACGTGAGCTGGCGCTGTAACATAGACATAAACAATGAACAGTGGAAGGCACAACAAAATCACTCGACATGAAACTTTGAAAAAGGCATGGTTGAGTTGAGGGACGTTTGTTTAATAGTGTTGGATATTAATCTAAAAGCACTCAGTCTTGCAGTTATTACTGGTACACTGTGATGTCTCTACCCTACATAGTATACGTCTGTATTTATATAAAGTATGGAAACTGAGACCCAACACTATTAACCCAAAGCACTTAACCCTTCAGTTATCACTGGTACACAGTAAGGCTCATCATTTAAAACCAACAATTAATAAATGCAATTTGTTGTTTATATAATATTGTATTACAAATTTCATACCTGTGCCTACTAAACTGCTATATATTCTTACTCAGCTATTATATATCACCAAGAAAGTATGTATCATGGGCCCAAGGCCTCTTTATTTAATAAAATCTGTCTGTCTGTCGGTCTGTCTGTTTAAGGCAGCATTACACCTAATTTCGCTGCAAAGCGAATTATCCCGCCTTCGTCGTCCGGATCTCGTTCATCCCAGGAATACTGAAGCCTGCTCGGATGTGTTTATAACCAATACGCTGCTTGATCTTGTAAAATATATTGTAAAAAACATAAATATGAAAAGATCATTGGGCACAATAGACTATGTTTCACTACAACAGGTTCAGTATATTTTAGCCGCCATGACTGAAACTGTCGTTCGAGTACCACGTGATAACAGTGATTGCCCCGATGTTTGTCAGATAATTCTGCAACTTACTTATTGAGTCATGTCCACTTGAACTAGCAGCTGTAGAAAAGAGAATTTGTTGTTACAAATTTATAAAAATCTAGACAAAACACGCACGCACGCACGCACAAACACACACATGCGAGCACGCACGCACGCACACATTGAACTTTTGTCAGTAATGATGACCTAAAGTCCTGCAACACTGCCAAACATTTTAAATCTCCAGCGTTTCATGTTCCGTTCAGGCACGTGTTCTCGGGGTTCAGTGTTCTCGGGGAACTGTCACAAGTAAGCAATGCTGGCCAATGCAAGCCACACAAACAAGGACATATGTTGCAAGTGCGAGTGTTATTGAAACTGTCATAGATCTAGGTCAGATGCAATGTATAGCACACAGGCATTGCATCAGCATTGAGCTTGCTGTCTTATGGGAGCGAGCGTATAACGCCACTTCAACTCACAAGCTATTTCAAAGAGTTATCTCCCTTTAAACACGACTCTCTGCAAATTCACTATTGCCAGGCAGAACACAGATGCAGATGAACCATAACCTAACTGTTTGAAGGCTTTTGGGGGTTGGGGGTGGAGGGGATGGAGTGGTAAATGAAGTAAGAGTGGGATGGGTGTGGATGTGCATGCAGGAGACGCCATCAACGGGAACGCAGTGTAAGCAAATGCCACTGGAGGGGAAGTATCTGCCGGGGTGGATAGTGATAACGAACGTGTCGGTGGTGATTGGGAGTGATGCGATGTGTGTCGATGAAGGCTGACGTGGTGGATAGTGATGAAGAGGGTGTCGGTGGTGATTGGGAGTGATGCGATGTGTGTCGATGAAGGCTGACGTGGTGGATAGTGATGAAGAGGGTGTCGGTGGTGATTGGGAGTGATGCGATGTGTGTTGATGAAGGCTGACGTGGTGGATAGTGATGAAGAGGGTGTCGGTGGTGATTGGGAGTGATGCGATGTGTGTTGATGAAGGCTGACGTGGTGGATAGTGATGAAGAACGTGTCGGTGGTGATTGGGAGTGATGCGATGTGTGTTGATGAAGGCTGACGTGGTGGATAGTGATGAAGAAGGTGTCGGTGGTGATTGGGAGTGATGCGATGTGTGTTGATGAAGGCTGACGTGGTGGATAGTGATGAAGAAGGTGTCGGTGGTGATTGGGAGTGATGCGATGTGTGTTGATGAAGGCTGACGTGGTGGATAGTGATGAAGAAGGTGTCGGTGGTGATTGGGAGTGATGCGATGTGTGTTGATGAAGGCTGACGTGGTGGATAGTGATGAAGAACGTGTCGGTGTTGATTGGAAGTGGATAGTGATAACGTGCGGTGGTGAATAAGCTAATATACTCACAGGAATTGGAGATACCGGTAACGATTGTCGTCATTGTTTTATCTGTCAAATATACGAATAAACTTATGCACACATGTTATATACATACACGTCAATCATCGAACGAGAAGTAGGAACAGTCATGTTGGCCCATACTATTTCAAACATTTCTATGTGTGTGCCGTGGTTGTACACTTACATCGAGTCATGTACGTACGGTACGTACTCTATGCATATATAACCGGACGTCACGCTACAGCATTTCACACATCAATCAGTTGTAATACATGCCCCAAAGGAACATAATGTTTTGCCTTTATTCGCGAGTGTTCTGCATAATTGAACTACTTCAAGGAAAAATGGTAAGTTTACAATGTAATTGCATCATATGTAGTATACCTTCATCGACCAAGTGCCCCTGTGTCTCTTGCTGTCTGTTTCACACCATAATCGACACAGCAAAGATTTACACAGAGAACGGCGAACGTTTTGCGAAATTGACACATCTCTTCCGGCACAAAGTAATATCAGTGACGGCTCTGATTGGGGGAATTTCATATAAACGTTTATGGACGGATATTTCACTTTTAAGAAATGAGATGATGTTTTACCTTATGTATTATGTCATAAACCGTGTTGGTTGCTTGTCCTGTTAAATCACTCACAATATGATCTTGTTCAAACTCATTTGACGTAAAGGGAATATATAGACCACTGTCAGGGTCATGTCGACCGCATCGTTGTCGAATGTTGTTTCGGTTTCAGTTATGTTGGAGATTTGCGCCATATTTCCGGTGTCTGACATTTTTCAGTCTACGTGATTTTGAGTGAATGCTTTTACCGAGTGCGTTGTCCGAAAACATTCTCAACAATCATTTGTTACTTGTTGTCCTTACTTCATTTGTACTTAGTATCTGCCGTATGATAATAACTAAGCAGATTTATAACAACTCTGAATGCGCTTGTGGATACCACAATGAAGATATCGTTCGATATCTTTTTACATGTAAGTTATACACAGTAACACCAGTACTACTGTTAGAAAATATTTATATGTGAATGGCCACAGGCTCCAAACTGTGTTATGTGAAATACCTCCAGCTACCAACAAAGTCAATACGAACATAATAGAGTACCTGCATCAATACATCTTTAAGACTAAACGAGTTGATAAATTATTCCAGACCAATATATGTACACAATTAATGAAATCTAACTGCAAGCTCAAGGTTCATAAATTCGTTCAAGGCACATGATTTTATATGATTTGATTTGTGTGTTTTGTGTATCCAGTTCTTGTGTATATTGTTTATATGATATATGTACTGGTGATGTAGTGATACAAGCAAAGTTTTACTTATTTACCAAACCAGATTATTTGATAATGAAAATAAAACCAACTAAGCAGATGAATTCTATCAGTTATTGAAAGATTAAGCGTTTCAGTTAAAACAGTGTGGTCATAGACACTTACCATTGGCGTTAGTGCTCTGGAAGCATATGTAGTGATGCAGCTCTCCACAGTCTGATGAGTTTATGCTGGCAACGTCGGGAGTGTTCGGGTATAATACCGAGCATCGACCTTCGGCTGTGAATAGTGAAACAATACGAATTGTAGAATGGTTAACTCACTTTTCATTTTATGTGTCAGGGTGTCAGGGTACTAGGCGGAGCATTGACCACCAGCTGTGGATGGTGTAAAATGAATACTGTAGTATGGATTGATCGCTTTCATTTTCATTTGAATGTTATGACCATGTATTGTACGTAATCGGATTATAATGTACTGCAAGTCAATGCTGTCGTGTACTTTGTCATCCTAGTCCAATTCGTGGAAACATTTAACTCCTTTAACAAAGGGTTTACACCAAGTTCCATCTTTACCTTCAAGTTTGGTGCCATTTCTGCCTAGCCATACTGCCTTGCCAAGCTGTTTGGCTACAAGCAGGAAGGATGTCTGAAATGTTGACTGTCTCAGGTCTGTAAGGTGTATCGAGGTGCCGTTCCTGGTTTGACAATCTAGTTCTGCCACGGACATGTTCGCCCTGGTCCGTGACAGTTGGAAGCTGGATGACGCGATTTCTATTGATAGGTAAAAGGCAGTCATTGGAAAATGGTTTCATTTCATTTCAAGTGATGACAACTGGATGCTCTATAATGATGTTAGGAAATCACCATGGATATTAGATACGTACTGCACATGTCTCTTACTGTATCCTATTTTGTTTGAGTGGCATTCTAGAAGTTGGTGGTATAGAGATGACAACTTTATGGATGATCGACTTCTTCATTTTCAACATAGGGACGTTTCGGTATCTTATACCGTTTCCAAGCAAGGTTAGACATATCTATACCGAAACGTCGCTTTTGTGAAAATAATGGAGCTGATTATCCATCATATTGTCATTTCTACTGTATCTTAGTTCTTACTTGATGGGAACTATAGTTTTCAGATATTCGTTCCGTCAGACGTTCAGAAATAGCAGTCAATGTATGCAACGAACACAATATTTAGGGTTATTAACTAGTGTAAAAAATTAAACCTTATTACAGGAATATGAAAATTGCTTTTGTCATATTTTGTCTCAGAACATTGTACGATAAGGTCAATTAAGTTTCAGACCAAGACTCCAGAACACGTGACAAGTTGCACAAACTGAAGCAATGTCACGTGGTTACTGAGTATTCAGCGGTTCTTAAAGAGTTCCCATCTCTGACATAACGTTTCATAGGATACGTATATATATATATACCATACCAAGATTGCTGGACAGTTAAAATCCGTCAATTGGGGTAAAAGAGCACCCATACACATTCTGACATAATTGTTCACATTCTGAATGGTTTACGTTTGAGATTCAGCTTCCGCCTTCAATGAATCATCAACCTTTAGTCCCTAAGTTTTTTAGTAAGAAAACCTGACATGTATCTGTCATTCTGCACTGTACGTTCATACTCCTGGTGCGGAAGATTAAATGCAGTATTGTGATAGAAGCGGGTGGTTCTTAACTGCTAAAGTGTACATGCATAACATTGATAAACGATGAGCCTGCAAAATGTTCAGTTATGTATAACACTAGCCTATGTCGGTTATAAGTAATACGTTTTAACGAAATTGTGAAAGCACAATCATGATATTATGAAGTCTCAAGTACTTCAGTTGCGGATATGGTCTGCTGAATAAAAACAGAATGATCGTTGGCTGTGTATAACCCAAGATCACGATGTTGCTGACATACAGCGGATCACAATAAAATTATACCGGGATTCGTCGTGGTTACAAAACATATATCCATCGATCGTTATGTTATAACAATGTTATATATGCCATGGATTATCTTCTCATTACAAACAGCGAGTCAGGTTTAATTTAAGCAGCAATGGTACTTACCAATCTTTGACATCATCACCATGGAAACGCAGTGAACTAGAACACATAGAAGCAAAACGATACTCCCACGAGCCATTGAGAAGAGCGTGTGTTATTTTGAAAAAACCCTGCGTAATAGCTAAGAAACTTTTTGTTGAGTAAGTTTGCTATTTCCGGCTGGAAACGTATCCCTGTATCTATAATTTCAGATGGTTTTCCTTGAGATTCATTCTCCTGCATGATTCATTAAGTGATATAGTAGCTATGTTTAGTCAATGGCCACTTGCTGAATAACTTTTGTATGGGGGCACGTGGATCAACCTGCAATCTGCATCCGGGACACAGGGAAGGATTTGTATCGAAACCAAATAGGTGAACGTTGTACTGTCGAGTCACGCTTTTAGTAACCCGACCCATACATGTCCATTAAATGTCATAACGTTTCCTAGCTAACACTGGTTGTTAATAAAACACTGATTGAGCGAGTGCATGGAAAGAGTAACTGAGTTTCACAATATTCTATGACGGTGTGTCCGCTTGGAGGACTTCCCGAGGTTCAACACGGCGTCGAAACCCACCAGCAAGAATGTAGTGCTAATTGTTTGATAGGCTTTCTAGAAAGTCTGAGTTAACCATAAAGTATACGACTTTATGGATAACAATTGTTTGTTTATTGCATAGGACGACATGTAGATTCTTACTCCGTTTTCGTGCTTTCAGGCGAAGTTGTTACCCATAAAGTCGCCGGATCTATTAAGGCAATAGTATTGGTAAGGCTATACAACCTAACCTGGGGAACCGACATTCCAGACAACGATCACAGTTTCCTTTTGTTCAAAAGAGACGTAACTCCTATTGTTTTAATATTTTCTCTGAATGACTCTGCAATTGAAATTTCACATTTTAACCATGCGTGATTTGTATTCAGACATTTGATTGTCATTTGCGAACATTTACATTCAATGAGGTCATTTATCGTTGGATCATGGGGACGTTTTGTCTAAACATGCACAGACACGCGTGCAATATTCACAAGACCATTTTGAGATTACATAACAACTAATTATTTCCGTCAAGTGATGTTGCTTTCTGTAACATTTCAGAAACTTGATTTGATTTTCTTCCTCGAATTTATCTTCCCAACACTTGTTATTGACATGATTTAACGGGCATTTGTGAAAACACATATGTTTGACTAAATGACACGAAACGCTGGTGAGAGAGTTCGGTTTCTGTGATATCACACCATCTCAGCTCAATGTGTAAAACAGTCCCAAGTGATAAAAGTCTCAGACGTTTGTCAGTCACGGTGGTGAAACCTGCGAGTACAGGTATGGGTCCTGATAAACCTTTACACACAAGGTGAGCGGACCTGGATTCGAACCCACAGTGATAGGTGTGCCCGAGGGAAACAGCTCCGTACAACGCCTTCATTTCGACCAGTTGTGCGAATTTGCTTGTCAAACTTCACAGCATTCTAATTAATTTTGATAAATAATGTTGTTACGAATTTCAAGAAGGTCGGGTCAGTGTGGTTGCCTAGTGGATAAAGCGTTCGCTCGTGCCCCCAAAGGCCCGGGTTCGATTCCCCACATGGGTACAATACGTGAAGCCCATTTCCTGTCCCCCCAACGTGACATTGTTGGAATATTGTCATAAACGGCATAAAACTAAATTCACTCACTAACGTACAAGGAAGTGTTGTTGCCACACAAATATCGCAACAGATATGACACTATTCTACTCCCATTATTCCCCACTTCAGATGCTGACAGGCACGACACGGAGGCCGAAACCTGTCTATTTCCGGTCCATAGCAATGTTACATTTTACATTTTTAATACTAGTAGGTCATACGGTGTCATGATTAAAACATATGTTCGTAAAACTAATAGAGGTTCACAATGCACTGATAACACAACATGTCTGTATCGTATCAAGCCTTTATTTAATCTATAACCAAATACATACACACATTACAGTGAAACAATGGTTGTGTACCTGGGTTTCCGCAACAAGATCAGCTGGAATAGTTTGACGTGTATGATTAATTTCGTCTTTTCAAACCAGATGCCGATGGAATACATATACTGTAAATCATGAAATTAATGTGAACATTTTATTCAATTCAATTCAAGCTCAATTCAGTTTATTTGGTAAATAACAAGTGTGAACAGAAAATGAACAACATCAAAGATTCAGGGTGTCACATTTTATCATCAACAATAATGATTCCTGAGCTCGCATTAATTTCGTGATATTTTAGATTAGACCCTCGCACTCGCATTAAATTCGAGACGCATCAATTTCATGATTTACAGTAGTTGACTACATGCATGCTGACCCATTGGTCTATAAAAGTCTTACATAGCATTTAAGTGTCAGCATGTATTTTGAGGGTCCACATAATGGACTAGAACCCGCACACTTGAAAATATTGGTCATACCTCAAATTGTTGTAATTTACTGTTGAGCTAATTGCATGTGACAATGTGAATACTTAACAACGTATTAACACGTCTTTAGAAAACACGACAATATGCCCCCTCAAGGCATCCATACATAGTCCTGTATCTGAATGCAGCCATACGGTATATAGTGTTTCAAGTTGTGGTAGTAGTGTTTCAAGTACTGCTATATAGCAAGTACACCATGGGCTGGTATACAGTGTCAGTCCCGGCTTTGTCTTATCACAACACGTCAGTAAGAAGGTACTTGTTGTTGCCATGTCTGGCGCTCGGTATTAAGGGCATGAAATAAGGACAGGTTGGATCGGAGTCAGCATACTACAGGTAGCTAAGTAAGGCGACCATGTTAGAACTGCGGAATAGTGTATTAGCAAGCAAGCACTCGAACACAGACAGTGGCTCGAACAAGCATCAAACACACACACGCGCACAAACTGACACCCGCGCACAAACACGGGAATGGACGTGACTGTGTAAGTGTAATCTTGAGCGGGATGTTAGACCTCAATTTATCCTCGCCCAAACGTACATGTAGATGATAGCATTGAGCGACTGCCATCCTGATCCTCTACACTAGATTATCTACACGGCAATTGCATCCGACACTTCTTCTTCTTCGTCGTCATCAGACTGTTGTGGAGAGACGTGAGGTGCGTGTTGGCCCCCCGGGACAAGCAGGGGGTGAGGGGCGGAGGAGGGGTAGGAGGAGAACATGCACCCGCTGGGATGGACGCCGGTCGTAGCACCCATACTACTGCTACGGCAATAGTTCCTGATCCTGGTTGCAGGTGGCGCCACGCTGGATCTCGACTCATACGGAGTAGACAAGCTGTAGTGCCACCTCGAGCTCGACAGTGATGTTTCCTCAGTCCGAGGGGGCTCCCTCTCGGTCTCCGGTCCCCGGGCAGTGCTGGTCAGGTGGGTGATTCTGTCACAGGAGCATGAGACACGGACCATTATCAAATTGTACTTCTCGTCAACATAAGAGCGATTTTGACGAATTGGCACAGATAACATGAAACTACGTCCTTCAGCGTAAAACATCGACCTCCAGCATTTAGCTGTCCCGTTCTTTGTTGTGAAATTTTGTTCAAAATATGATTTACGCAATCCAGTAAATTAACTGCGAATGAGCCATTTGTTGATAAAGACAGACATTCATGAATGTGTTCAGACACAGTGATGACAGTTAGAGAGAGTGCATGCTAATAACAACACACCTTCTGACAGTACAGAGAGCGACGACACAGATCACTGCTGACACAACACCGCATACCCAACACCGAGAATGACCAGACCTGGGAAAATACAAGTTATTGTAGATTTAACACATATGTTGTAACGTTCCATAATATACATATATATGATTTGCTTACTAATACGATTTCCGTTTATATATATATTAATATGAGAAGCACCTACTGACTATCCACGTGTAACAATGATATAACAACTAAACATTTACACATATTATGTTCTACCTACTACCTTGTACATCACTTGTATAATATCAGTGGCGACGGAAAGTTTTAGCTTCCGACACGTTGATCCATGACACAAAATGCTTGTGTCAGCTCTATGATAAATATGTCTGGATTACGTGAACATGTTGGAATAGAGGACAGGTTCTTATACTTATCGTCGGATTTAGCAGATCTGCTACTTCGTAGACCGGAGCCGTGGATCGTTCATCATAATATCAACCACTTGATTGTTTGTCCAGGTTATATCTATTTAGTGGCGACCTGTATTATGGAACAACAAACGCACAAACAAATCCCCTAAAACGACAAAGCTAAACACTGATTATCTCCAGAGTGTGACAATATGTATTTAATATATCACCTGTTCGGAGTTGAAGAAGTAGAGAAGTTTCAGCAGGTCCTGGTTGTCTTGTGTCGTCGTATTTCTCTGTGGCGTGAAGGTCCCCCCAGGAAAGAGTTGTATCTGTTAACATAACACAATTTAGTGTTTAAATGTAAATTTAAATTTAAATTTAAATGTACATACATTTAATTAACCGTACACGTTCATGCTTGTACCAACTTTATCAAGTCATGAGGTATGTCAATGAGATATAATAGCACCTTCATCACTGGCCTGTGTTGCATTGGCTGGAGAAGTCCTGTTTTCTGTGTGATCCCCAGGGCTTGAGAGGCACAAGGTCGAGTTTCCTGGAAATACGAAATGAGGCTAACTTAATTTCCAAATAATTTACTACCCTTAACTCAGGTATATGTCATAAGCACCACATCACATAGACGGTTAAATTGACATGTGTTTGTCGGTGAATTACGGTTTATATAATGCAAACAAGAAAACACCATCGTGTGGCACTGTTTTTATTTACTTTTAAATTATATTAAAAGATCTTGTCCAAACGGATTCAACGTACCTTTTCTTTTCAAGGTCACATCAACAGCCATGACGGTATCACCCTTTACCATGCAGGTAAAATGTCCAAAGTCGTGTTTGGTCACGGGCCTGATCCTCAACTGCCAGGAATTGCTTATGTTGTCATAAGAGCTCCTGTATCTAGATCTGAAGCTTGTTTTGCCAACAGATACAAGCAGTCCCCGGTTGTCCATCCATATAACCTGTAAAACAAATGTTGACAATGTCATAATGCCAGATGCTGTTGGGGGAATAGTTAGTAAGTACTTGTCCAGGGAGGACCTACCTTGGATGGCTTGCGAACTTTGACGGTACAGTGTAGTTTGGCTGTTCTGCCACACGCTGCGGCAACAGATATGCCTGATATGCTTTCATTAGAAGCGTCTTCACCTGTAACGAGTACGATAGATAAACTGTGTTGAGCTCATACCGTTCCTGAATGCAGCGACCAGCATGTGAACTTCAACGTGCTGGTTTACAATCTTTCTGGGCAAAATAAAGGGACGCTTGATAATATGGCGTACATACTTTACTCTACGAAAGCTGTGCAATTGTTTATTTTCTCTACTTGAAGAATCCCTACCACCTGCTATTAATAGAAACAAACAGTTGTCTGCATGGCATCGCAATCGTCGATCTGTGAATAATCGAGTATGGTTCACACAATCCAGTGCTTTACTTCAGGAGCTTTAGATTGCACAAGAGAGACAGGACGATATGCATTGAAGAGCATGTTGACAAAGAAGGTTGACCAAGACACCATTCAACAACAAATCGTAGTCACCTTTGAGCGTTAATTCAAACCGCTGTACAAGCTTCCTGCTAGCGTTCTTGTAGACACAGTCATAGATCCCTGCATCTGGACGACGTGCAGATATGACGGTCAGTTGAAAATCACCGTGGTTCTCTTGTAATGCATATTTCTGAGTATTCACGAACAGCCTCTTGCCGACAGCTATTGGGACCGGGTTGTACCATCGCTTCCACAATACCTTCATTGGTGAGAAATTATGTTATATATATCAGCATTAATGCTTCGAAGTCAATTCATGCCAAACATGATTAGTATAATAGTGAATAAATCCAAGGGGTAAAAGTAAGAGTCAGATGTGTATAACCTACACGTAGGTCTGTAGTGTCTCCGATCTGCGGCGGAGGGACAGTTGATACAATAACATACATGATATTCAATCGAGTCAGGCATGATCAATCTCAAACAATTTTTTGTCCAGGAAATACACGAGGTCAGTGCAAAGGGATAGCCAGGGTTTTGACTATCATCAGATACAGCTTCCATTTGGTGTAAAGAGCGAAATACCGTAAGAATGAGAAAAACGGATCACTGAAAATCAGTGATGACACCAGGTGTTCCCGTAAAGGGTAAGAATGTTTTGCCCTGACCGGTAGCTCCTGCCACCTGCACAATTTGCCTGAACAATGTCCTCCTGTCACGCGGCCTGTACACAAACCAGACACTCAGGTGATCGACTGTTGTGTAGAATGTTACAGATTTCGCTGCTTGCAAGTGAAGACAAACGGTTTGGAAACAGATTTGTTTTGCAACAAAAATGTTTGTTGAATAAGTACAAATATTTATATGACCAGAGTTCAAAATTTTACTTTTCTGATTAGATTACAGTTTCATTCTGTGTTCTACACAATACCCGTATGCCCGATAAAAGAAAACCTGAACTCATTTCCTCGAGAGAGGTTGTTGCCGCATCAAGATGAAAGTAAGCTCATTCGAAATAACTCTTTATTGTTAACCGACATTTTGACATCTTGTGATATTATTGCGTTACTAAAAACTATCAAACATTTTGATCATACATGACTCTTTCATTATCTTTTGTTTAAATGAACTATTTTAACACGACACGTTCAGTTGTTGAGAGTCACGTGTCCACATCGCAAGACACGATGTTGATACGCTCAGTCTGACTGACTGACTGACTGAGTTTGGTTTTACGCCGCTTTTAGCAATATTCCAGCTACATCACGGCAGGGGACACCAGAAATGGGCTTCACACATTGTACTCATGTGGGGATTCGAACCCGGGTCTTCGACGTGACGAGCCAACGCTTTAACCACTAGGCTACCCCACCCACCCTCGCTCAGTCTGAAAGCTGACGACAACAATGTACAGTTACTTACAGCTTAACAGATGAAATTAGTCGTGAAACAGGCAACAGTTTGCAGATTAGTAAAATAAACAACTTGTGTGACGTATACAATGGTAAAACATCCCTGGCTATTTATACACACCTTCCTGTTACACGGGATATTGCATGTCAAGGTGACGTTGTCTCCCCTGTCGAATGTGATCTGAGTTGTTGAAACTGCAATGTTGTAAATATCATTCATCATGTAGTAAAACGGGTATCCACAGAATGGGTTCAACGGCAGATATAGTTTGGGTGAAAATGCTTAGCAGGGAACGGTGACGTCATCATCAAATGGAAACGGTTATTTCTCTACAACCGGAGCTGGCTGGCCGTACAGTTTACCCCCAAGATAACTTCTTTGAGAGGCAAGATAGTACCCCAAGATAGTCATTATTAATGGTTTCAAGCGAAATAAGTTTCATCTAAATACAATTTTACCCGCATGTTCCTCAACCGTCTTTTGTAAAATATAAGCCCTCTATATATGCAACATTATGTGCACAAATCGATATTTCGTTTCAGTGTGAAGCTTGCATTTAAACATTTCTGTATATGTTGTGCTACTTCAGGGCACGCCCATGCTTTCCTAATTATGAAATTCATGCTATAATATTCTAAGCTCACGTCAATCAAAACAGTGCTGGCTAATCCTCTCATTCTGCCCGGAAGCAGAAGTAGTATACAAACTTGTAAGGATACTTACAATTCCAACGATCCATGTAACATTAACCTCTTTATATATACGTAGTATTGAGTACAACTTACCTAGTTCGTGATATGTGGATTGGATGTCTGCTAGTAGAAAGATAACTATGAACAAACAGCCGCCCGACATGTCAAGTTAATATCGAGAGCTCAAATGAAAGCGAAACGCATGCTTCAACCTCTTCCTTCTATTTCCACAACATGCATATGCATCCAAAATTGCCTGATCATCAAATGAGAGCAGAGTGACGGAACACAGAAAATATCTTGATCCACTTTTAAAGCCACCTATTGTTGAATCCAGTGTTCAGTTTCAACATCATCGCCGGCTTTTCAATTTGCTTTGTGCATCTATTTATCACCACACACACAATAACACAGTTGTATGGCGACAGTTTACAAGTAACCGGTCCCCACATGGGTACAAGTCTATACCAGATAAGCCAGTGATAGACACGATGAGCACCAGTTTCGACAAGCATGCATAGGTGACTGAAAACCCGTTGTAATTCGGATTAACAAGACTCTCCATATCGAGATGGGTTATGCATGGTTGTGAAATAAGTGAAGTGGTATAAGTAAAAAAGTCAGACTCATTACCAGACAACCATCCTATGATTATTTATGTTACAAATAGTTTAGCTTTATATGTGATAAATAGTCTAGCATGTGTATTAACGAGACACGCTGACCTGAGAATACGTTTGACATACACATTAATGAGCTGGAACATATCTGACAGGGTACAATATATGGAAGTGGTGTCATCCTGTCCTGGGCAAGTACCTAAAGTACCTGAAACATCAATGACGTCCCTTCTTAGAACATTATAGATAATATTATCGATATATGTATAATGTCAGCTAGCGGGGTATGACGGCACTCTCCATCTTGACACAGTCTGGACACCTTCCATACACATTATCAAAACGCTACTGTTAGGGAATTAACTCGCTTGGAAAGAGGTACCAGTATAGCAAACCACACACAACACAAGACCTTGGTGAATAAAATACCCAGACTTGGGCCTCCTTGGGTGTGCCCCACCATCCCCCTGAAAAATAACTGATAATAATGAAAGTCATAAAACCCTTTCCCGGATGCCGTTGTACACAACAACCTTTTTTTAAACAGGGGAAACACGAATCCAAAGACCTTGGCCTTGTTGTGTTCAAAAACAATTATAATTTAAAGCCTTATACATATATAATAGCTTTCGTGTTAGTTGCAATTCATTCTTTATGGCTTTACGCTTCATTTACGCCTCACTTTGAAGATCTGGTGACAAGCACAGTTGAACCATGGACGATGTCTGACTGTCCAGACAATGACTGTACATGCATGTACGCATTGGCAATACCCGTTACCCTCCGTGAGGAAACATGAGAATTGTTGTTATTGTAACATAAAGACCGTATAGAGGAAAGTGAGTCAGTGGTGGTCATGTGATTGACAGGACACTTACAGTAAGTGGACTGAGTGCGCTGTGTTTGTATGTTACATATGTCGAAGTTTGGACGCTCAGACTGTGACAAAACGTGACTGCTCTGTGAATCTGTACCATGTATCATGATACTCGTAGTGTACCTGCACGTGTGTCTCGTGTGCGCCGCAGTTCTCCAACAATCTGCAGGGAAAGGTAGGTAATCACCTGATTTTATTACTTGGCGAGCAGAATCATATATGAAGCATCATTTACTTTTTCATACATTTTGACTTATAAAAATATCAATTTCTCACAAAATTAAAGAAATATATTAAATTACTTATTATAGAATAATTAGTATATTATTCTTTTTTAATGAGTAGCTGAAGAGACATGAAGTTAAAAGGTACAAGCTGTTGATTGTTATTGTTTACTAAACATGTACTGTGAAGCAATAATTTGTTCTTTAAGATGATCTTTATCTGTGTATGTCGTAGCCCCAGTTGAGCTATCAGCAGACCATGGTTTCATATCATTGAATTGCCTTTGTTGTGATCCACATCCTTTCAACTCCATTCTTGTGCTTGTACGAACGGGTTTGCTGTATGAAGCTGTTCATTGAGCATATACACAAAGAGAAAATTAGACATTTGTTCACAGTCGCACCAAGTATAATGAACGCTTGTCCAAACCTCATTTCCCCTCAGCTCACGCGAGTTGACAGTGAGACGTCTCCCCTATGCATACAAAAGCCATTGATGTTGTGAAAATTAGGCAACACTCGCTTTGATCATGTAATGTAACAACAATATATTGACGTCGTTGCTGTCTAATAAATGAGGCAATGCATAGCGCATTCAACTCGGATTAAGTGATAACGTGGAGAGTAGGGATGGTTGGCGATTTTATATTGAAGAATTTAGTCTGTTTGTATGTGTTTAGTACTTACTTTGAACGTGTCAGTTTCAATCACAAGTGTCAAGCCACGCTCCACCACGGTTTGATAATGACCAAACATTAACCGCAGTTAGGATACTTTGGCTTAATGCTACTTGGCAATGACAGGTTTTGAACGTGTCAGCTTAAAATCGGAGGATGCTGGACAAATCACCCTGGCCTTACATATTAACCACTGTTGTCAAATTCACTAGCTTCCTGACTGAGCAACTGGCATACCTGGGGAACACTGGGGCATTCGGACCCTATTAAATGTCTGCGATTTCTCAGTTTGCGATTTCTAACACAGGTGCACCTCTGGAAGACTTGGGAGCCCTTTACACGTGTGCAGTACCAGAAAAACAGAAGCGTGAACCTCACTTGTAGCTTCCCTTCAAGTGACGATGTAACAGTAAGACTTTCACTACTCTTAGACTGGCAATGCTCACGATGCGATATTTATCCTATTCCTTTTCAATGACAACACATAACAAGAAACAGCTTCAAGCTGATGACCATTATTGCAGTTCTAGTTTGTTGGAAGTTAAATTGTATCACTGTAGGAAATAAGCATATTGTTATAATGACATGTTCATGATAATGATAATTTATAATATCTGCTGCAAGCTTGACAGTCGATGTCAACATAGTAAGCATGAATGGTGCGGTAATTCACCAGGTAATGTGGAGAAAGACGGGGTTACAGATTCCCATCGCCGTCAGCGGTAGGGTGATTTCTCACCCCGACAAGTACCAGATCGAGGAAGACACAAAGCAAGGCTGGTCCAGTCTCATCATTGATGCTACCAGGGTGACGGACGCGGGGTACTACACCTGTTATTGGTTGCTGAACAGGACGGTGGTGAACTCGACAAAGTTCACGCTGGTCAGAAAAGGTGAACATGATGCTGTCAATGTGCCATGTACTTAACTGTTTGGTGGTCTATCTTACTTGTTTCGTGTAAGGTGCAAATATGCTTTAGAAGAGAAAGTAATGAATAAACCGTTATTGCTCTATTCTTCACCAATCTACCCTCATCCCCAAAGAACTCCATTACCCCTCTAGATCTGTTCCCGAAGTGCACAGCATACTTGAGGATTGTCTTCGCTTGTGTTTATAGGCTACATTTACGCATTTATTTTTTAATGTAACCTCGCATGTCACTGTAAATGAGATACTCGTGTACATCGTACGTTTTAACAATTATTTCGATTTTATCAATAGTTGCGGTGGGGTAGTCTAATAGTGAAAGCATTCGCTCGTCACGCTGAAGACCCGGGTTCAATTCCCCACATGGGTACCATGTGTGAAGCCCATTTCTGGTGATACCTGCGATATTGCTGTAATATTGCTAAAAGCGACGTAAAACCATAATCACTCACTCACTCGCTCTAATTGATAGTTCTATACCATATATCCGTAAAATGTTACTTATGTTTTTCTACTTGCAGATAAACATTTCACACTCATTCGAACTTCAGAAAAGACAGTAAAGGCTTCTATAGGCGATGATGTCGAACTTCCCTGTATTGTCCAACGAAAGCATAAGTATAAGGTTAGAACAGAATACTGTTGAGTGTAGCATATTTGGTTCTGGCTGTGCATCACTATGAATGGTAAGAAGCTATTGCAGCTATTGAAAGCTACTGAAAGCTATTGAAGCTTCAAGCAATATTTTAAAATACACATAAAAAACACTTAATAGGAAGACAAATAACACCATTATTAACTATTTTGTCATTATTAGATACTAGGCCGAGGCATAGTATAGTAATCGTTAATTGACAGTTTCCTATCAAGCAATGTCGTGATTTCAACAGGCGGTCATGTTCGTCGTCCATGGTCAATTACGCTTGTCATATTTCCGCCTCTTCAGTATAGTCGGGCAAAGGTTACACTGTTGAGGTGATGTTCGTGATTCGCCTAGCACATGCAACTGACTTGTACAAGGTTAACACAGTATGGGAAAATCACCACTGGATGGCCTGTTCATATATTGTTTGATAGAATGGCTGTAGAGACTGGCTAAATATAATCACCTTATCTCCGGTTCGTGATGAGATAGATCCGTAGACGAATCTGCTCAGGAAAACAAACGTTTAATAAGTGGTTATTAAAGACCAGGATATTGTTACCAGGACAACGACTATTAAAGCTCATTTGACACAAAAAAAACATACAATTCAAAAATCGTGTGTTACACATGTAATGAATTTGTCTGGTCAGCTTTTATTCAGTGGTAATAAGGTATTGGTTTCAGTTCCATCTTGTTTAGCGTGGCGTTACAACGTTCGTCCCTCATGCCTGTTAGCATTCAAAAATAGTGCAATACCTATCCAATGTATTATGCATTACATGTACTAACCCCTCAGATGTTTGACTGTTACTGAAAACGACGTAATACCAACTCAGTCACTTCATCGATTGACAAACGTCAGGACCCGTGAAGGGTCGGGTTAGAATGAACCTTTAGTAACCCATGCTTGTCGTAAGAGGCGACTAACGGGATCGGGTGGTCAGGCTCGCTGACTTGGTTGACACATGTCATCGGTTCCCAAATGGGCAGATCCATGCTCATGATGTTGATCACTGGATCGTCTGGTCCAGACTCGACTATATACGGACCGCCGCCATATAGCTGGAATATTGCAGAGTGCGGCGTAAAACTAAACTCATTCACTCACTCACTCACAAACGTCAGTTTCTAGTATAATTATATTTCCTGAACGGCAACCACTCTGACACATTCTATGACATGTTCTGTATAGGAGACGTATTTTGCAGGTTCTGTGGCTTGACCCCAGCAATCGTGTGGTCACATTCGGGTCACGGAGTCTCAGGAAACGGTACACAGTCAGTTCCAGGGGACACAGGAGAAACTGGACACTGAAGATAACAAATGTCAATAAAAATGATTTTGGCACATTCACGTGTCTTGTCAACACAGACCCTATACTCTCAAGTACGGTTGGGTTGTCCAGAAAAGGTTTGTACACTAACTTCCTGCTTTTCATCTCGTAAAGGTAACCTATGGTGAGGCGTGGCGGTTCCTGCTTGATGTTTGTGCCGCTTACATAGTGTACATAGTGATGATTTCTGAGAAGGGTTATGGTGGCACAATGACTGAAAGTTATTTCGTTGTCCTTAATTCCGAGCACCCGACATGGAAATTACAATAATATTAGGCAGTTGGTACCATGGAGTCGTTGATCGAGCAGCCTCAAATCAAACGAATTGGTACAGAGCACCGGATCTTGGTCCAACACAAAAGGTCATTCCATTCAATTCCATATTACCACAATCAAGCCGCGAATAAAACAACATTTATAACATTATTTAGAAGATATGGGACATACTGTACAATGGCACATTTAAATCACCAAGGTTTGAGTAGTGAGATAGGAATCTAGATCCAGGTGTTCAGAATGTTCTGAATCTGACTCAGCTACTTGGGTGTGGTCGTAACCGACAGGGTTTGGACACTTTTATCTATCCTTACGGCCACTCCTTCACCCACTCACCCACCCATTCACTCACTCATTGACATTCCCATTGTACTGTTACAGGATACCCCCCGCCACGGCATACTACCACTTCTACTCAGACCACCACGACACAGCGACATGACAGCCACTCCAATGTAACAAACGATATATGTGGAAACAACACATCCATCTGTAGAACAGGTTTGATAAATACTGAATCATTTAGAAACACATAAGCAGATTTTCATGTTATTACATTTTAAGTAGAAGCGTCCATCTGGTTAATGTTTCGCTAGATGTTGTGTCGTCGCCATGGTAGTGATTGTAACTGTCAAATAAAGTGTCAGCGTTTAAATAAATATTTTATGAAATACTTGTTTACATTTAAAAGGAAAGTATACAAAGTTAACCATATAAACCACATTAAAAGCAGAATTATCATCGACATATGGGTATAATGTTCAGCATTTCCACGAATAACAGTAAATATTTGATTGACATTGCTCTGTGACAGTTTCAGACTCATCGGATGTCATTGGGACCAATGGTGTTCCTAAACTTGCGGCTGTCCATAAAGCTAAACCAGGGCAAAGCTGGGGTAAGAATACATTTTAGTACCTTTAACGGCAATGTAGTGTTTGGGTAAGAGTAAATGTTGGTACCTTAACGGCAGTGTAGTGTTTGGGTAAAGAATAAATGTTGGTACCTTAACGGCAGTGTAGTGTTGGGGTAAGAGTAAATGTTGGTACCTTAACGGCAGTGTAGTGTTGGGGTAAGAATAAATGTTGGTACCTTAACGGCAGTGTAGTGTTGGGGTAAGAGTAAATGTTGGTACCTTAACGGCAGTGTAGTGTTTGGGTAAGAGTAAAAGTTGGTACCTTAACGGCAGTGTAGTGTTGGGGTAAGAATAAATGTTGGTACCTTAACGGCAGTGTAGTGTTGGGGTAAGAATAAATGTTGGTACCTTAACGGCAGTGTAGTGTTGGGGTAAGAATAAATGTTGGTACCTTAACGGCAGTGTAGTGTTTGGGTAAGAGTAAAAGTTGGAACCTTAACGGCAGTGTAGTGTTGGGGTAAGAATAAATGTTGGTACCTTAACGGCAGTGTAGTGTTGGGGTAAGAATAAATGTTGGTACCTTAACGGCAGTGTAGTGTTGGGGTAAGAATAAATGTTGGTACCTTAACGGCAGTGTAGTGTTTGGGTAAGTGTAAATGTTGGTACCTTAACGGCAGTGTAGTGTTGGGGTAAGTGTAAATGTTGGTACTTTAACGGCAGTGTAGTGTTGGGGTAAGAATAAATGTTGATACCTTAACGGCAGTGTAGTGTTTGGGTAAGAGTAAATGTTGGTACCTTAAAGGCAGTGTAGTGTTGGGGTAAGAATAAATGTTGGTACCTTAACGGCAGTGTAGTGTTTGGTAAAGTGGCATTAGCTGGACATCCGTGCTCTTTTTGTCAACACCACGGCCTCATTTCACAAAGCACTATGGTGATCGTAAGTCACTAAGGTAACCTTAGTGCAACGTTAAAGAATGGTAGTTAAGTTTAACTGTAGTAAAGGTTGCTTCGTGAAAGGAGCCCCAGGTGTCTTCGTTATATTTCTTGATCTGTGTCGGCAGACTTGTTGATCTTTCACACTGACGTTTTATGCTGTAATAAGCTATGAAGCTTAATTTTCTGAAATGTTGAAAAATATTATACAGTTTTCTTCTTATTTCAAATTGCAGACCGTTTGATTCTGGGGACAAGCATTGGCGTTTGCGGCTTTGTTTTGTTTGTAGGACTAGCCAGTGGATGTTTCTTGGTGGACAGGTAATACTGAAGTATGCAGTCGATAACATTGTTGGGTGTGCACAGGTTTTATTGCCTTGGGTAGTCAGTACGATTGTGGACAGGTAGTGGGTATTTAATGACAGTGTTGGATGTTGACAGGCAATAATTCACTGGGAAGTCAAAGAAATAGGTGGATGTGGACGGGAAATCTTGCAGTGGGTAGTCAATATCAATTTGAGCGAGGACAGGCACTTGTGTAGAGTGTCATCAAATAGTTAAATGTTGGCAGGTTATACGCCTGTGTGATATCAATTAAATGGACCCGTAGTTTTGTAATGTGAACACAATAACACGGTTGGATGTGGAAAGGAAATATTGTCTTTTGAAGGGAGTGGTGGCAGTAATGCTAAGTGGCACTAATTTATTTTTATTTTTGTTAATTTGATACATTCTACATGAAATTGGCACAGCATGCAGACTCTACCCATAAGAAAAGTGTATTTGCATGACCCGTACATCTAAGTTTACTTGCATGACCCGTACATCTAAGTTTACTTGCATGACCCGTACATCTAAGTTTACTTGCATGACCCGTATATCTAAGTTTACTTGCATGACCCGTACATCTAAGTTTACTTGCATGACCCGTACATCTAAGTTTACTTGCATGACCCGTATATTTAAGTTTACTTGCATGACCCGTACATCTAAGTTTACTTGCATGACCCGTACATCTAAGTTTACTTGCATGACCCGTACATCTGAGTTTACTTGCATGGCCTGTACATCTGCATCTATTCCTGCAGGATACAGAAGATGACGCGGAGGATCATCCAGCAGGAACTGACTTTAGACCATATGCGCATGCGTCGTAGGAGTCGAAGACTCACATCGGAAACACATGTGATCATTGGAAGACAGAACAGTTCCACGAAAGATAACACAATTGACTCGCACAATTCTGGATCTGCTAAAATGTTAAAGCCGAAGGATCAACAGCTGTTTAAAGGCACGTATTGTGAGCCTTGGTCGTCAAGCAGTGATTTAATTCAAGCCATGAATGCTGCGTACACCGACCAGCAGGGTCGGGAAGACATACAACCAAGTTACACGACAAATGTGGAACCGATTGTTGAAGCTGCAGGGAAAGACAGACAGGAACCACCAGGGGGACAACCCGTGTCGGGATGGACAGGCGGATCACGTGGCGGGTGGTATGGAGGAACGACCGTTGATACGTGTAGACGGGGAAGGAGAGTGCGAGGAAGATGATGCCTCGCAGGACATGTGACAACGTATTAGTGCCATTTCCTGCAGGAGTATTTGTCTTTGACCTTAGATTCATGTGGAATATTTAGTTCCAGAGTGATTCCTTACGTAAGAGGAATGACGGAAGTAAGCTCTTAATCATGTATATATTTAATTATCTACGTGGACTGGCTGTAATGTCTTATGAATTATGTGTGGCCAAAACACACGGCTGAGCACGCAATGAAGAGTACATTGTTTCCATGACATGGGTGTAATGCAAAAGCAACCACCTATCTACCTACCTGAGAAACCGTACATCCACCCACCCACCGACTATCTATTCACGTACCTACCTATCGAACTACCTACCTACCTATCGAACTACCTACCCACCCACCCACCTACATAACTACCTGCCCATCCACCCACCCACCCACCTACCTACCTACCTAAACCCACCTACATTTGTACCTACCTACCTACCTACTCACCCACCCACCTACCTACCTACCTACCCACCCACCCATCTACTTTTGTACCTACCTACCTAACTACCCATCCAACCCCCCCCACCTACCTACCTACCTAACCTGCATTTGTACCTACCTACCTACCTACCCACCCACCGATCAACCTACATTTGTACCGACCTACCTACCTACCTACCCACCCACCCACCGATCAACCTACATTTGTACCGACCTACCTACCTACCTAACCACCCACCCACCGATCAACATTCATTTGTACCTACCTACCTACTTACCTACCCACCCACTCACCTACTCACCTACCCAACCACCTACCCACCCACCCACCCACCTACCTACCTACCTACCTACCTACCTACCCACCCACCCTACCCACTCACCTAGCACCTACCCACCCACCACCCACCCACCCACCCACCCACCCACCCAACCAACCAACCACCTACTCACCTACCTACCTATGCAATTTGGAGATGATCTCATACATCCCCTGATCCTTTTGTTGATGACCAGTTGTAACTTCTTCTCTTCCGGGGAAGCTGCTGAATCCTAACGGTTTTATACGTGACACACACACATTCGCAATGGGTAAGCATATCCACACACAGAAACAAGATTGCCCCAAGATTACCTTCCATGTTTAAACATGACTTGTGTGATCCGGTTTAATTTGTAATGTAAATATGTTTACTGAGATGTTGATAAGAATTATTGTTCTTATTTATTGACTATATTCACGCAGGTTGTCAGCGGTGACCATGTAAACAACACTGTAATTATAAACTACTGTAAATAAAACTTCAAAATGAAATTGTTGTTTTTGCATGTTGTTCGATTTATTGTTGGGACACTACTCATAACATACAATTGTGTCACAAAGACAGTGTTCATAATCATGTGCGATATCACATTCGTTGGAACCTAACCTGTGTTGGCGTTTTGAAGAATCGCAGGGACATTTGTACATTTTCATGATATTCGTATACATGCACAGCGTATACTGACATTCATACCAGTCCAGTGTAATGTGGAGATACTCTCAGTGATTACTGACACTTAGCTATGTAGCTACGATACTGACGGACGTTTTACCAACTCCATTATTCTAATGCTTAATATACTTTACTTATATATCTGCGCGTAGATATAAAAGTACATTAAATTGTATGAATTACATTTAGCACCTGATATCATCACTGCCTGATAGCGTTTCATAACACATGCTCGTGATATAGTCCCAACAGTACAATCGACTTTGTCGTCGTTATTTGTCATATGTAATCATTATAGGAATGTGTCATATATAACAGTAATGTATCACAAAAAGGTAGATAAGAGCTATGTTTAAACTGCAAGGTTGTCGTTTTAGCTTACAATTTGCAAGTATGTCACTGCTGAAAGATGTGAGTCTACCGGTATAGCAGGCACATTGTCTTTTTCAGGGACGTACCGAGATCAATGCAACTACCACTGAGAACAAAACAAAAACCTCTCACATTTTGTACATTGTTTATTCAAGCCATGTATGTACTTTGTTAAACGTACATATAAACGTTAAATTCAGTGTGTCAACTCTTTCCGTGTTTCGTTTTACTTATCCTCTTATTCTCAGATCGTTTTGTAGTGGGGTACTTATCCATCTGATGTTGTCAATACACTGTTGTTGAACATTACACTGTCACAGAGCTGCAACCATATTCGTTGTAAGTCATAATTACGTCATCATGAGATGTGTCTGACAGATTGTCTACATCAATCCGACTGTAGTTTCCCCTTGTCAGGCAGCCAGTGCACATTCCACGGTTGAAGGAGTGCGACCGTTTTGCATCTCCAGACTTGACCTGGCTTGACTGGGCTGTTTGAACATTGCTAGGTCCACTGTCTTGATACAGGAACCGGGACAGTTCTGTCAGCAGTGTGGCTTGTAGGAGTCGGTGGTATCTGAAGTATCATCAAACGTGATAATCAAATGCTGATGACAAAGTGAAATATACACGTTTTTAAAGTGGAATGTCAACCGGAGAGCAATTGTTTGGGCAGGGTGTATTTTGCCAGGACCCTGCCACCTCATCTTCTGCCTCAGATTTCCCGAAAGTTGTAATAATATATTGCATCACATCGGATTTGTTATGGATGTCGAAGGGTTTTGTCGCTTATGTTTACATGTGAAGAAAAGTGCCTATGGTATGGGATTCTTGTTTATTATTTTATAATTATAATCTATTTATATAGGCTGCTCACAGGCGCTTTGTTTTTCCTTCGATCATAGGATGTCAGTCTTAACGGCACTTCGTATGATCATTCTCAACTTCCTGGGGATCATACAACGCTTGCAGCCACAAGGCGCACTAATGTGGTATTATATTAAGATATGTATTGAGGAATAGACTTAACATCCCCTTGGAACCACTGACATGAAATATAGACAGATGTCTATGTTGGTAACGGATAAAGGGATAGGTTCAGTCTAGAGTGTGATCGTGAACGAGTATTAATATTACGACAATATATCTAATAACGGAAATCCCTGCTCACTGAAACTACTCTTCTGGCTCAACCATATGTACACGAGGAAGAAGATGCGGACCGGGGCTCTGCGTCACAGCTGGACAAGGAAGTAAGTGATTTTAACTGTGTTTGATTAATATGACTAATGGCTGCCATCTTGTGAAAGAATGAGTAAAGCTCTGTGCAGATATTTTAACAGAGTTAGATATACACAAACAATACATTTGTCCGCTGTCTCACGTGTTCCATTAATTGGATCCGTAACAAGCATTGCGGGTGAACGAAGCGGTAAAATAAGCACAAGGGCATATTACGTCGAGTTGGACCCACCTTCGTAGCAGGATAACGATGATCAGAGCCATGCAGACCAACAACACGGCAGATGTTCCTACATACATACTTATGTCCGACATCTTTTACTGTAGTATAATATAATTATTTAAACCAGAAACACAGTCAATACGTCATTGCTTTGGAGGCTGTAAAACAAAGTGCGGTAACTGTTTCCTGATTTAATAAAAACTGTTTACATGAACACGTCCTCTTTGACTTAATATATTAAATGTTTCCATGGTCATGGACCCGTCAAATGACTGACTGGAAATCGAAACGTAATTCAACATGAATAATAAGGAAATAGTACATGACTAATAAACTCCTTTGAAATTTAACAAAAACATCGACAGAAGACGTTGAAACAAGTCGCTGTTTGATAGGTTGAAGCATTGCCCAGTACTCGACAACTGACGATATTTAACATAAATAATCACACCCAGAAAATAATCCGTCTGAGTTATCTGACGAAACATATTACGCTGGATTTAAAAGAAAAGATTGTGAAAGTAAGACACGTACAAGAAGGTATGTTCAGGACAATGAGTGTGGCATATTTTTCTCAACACATCTTTCGCTATCAGTAGATGTATATCTGAAGTAGATTTGTAGTGTTCCAGCTCACCAGTTGGAATGTATACAATAAAAGAAAGGTTATGCAATTTTCACGTTTTATTCCGGATACCCGACGTAAGCTGTATATGTTTACAATATTCATTTTCAGTTCATCAGTATGTGCTCTGGAAAATCAGAATTGATACAGGGGGAATGAGTGAGTGAGTGATTTGAGTTTTACGCCACTTGGTCTTCACACATTATACCCATGTGGGGAGTCGAACCTGGACCATTGGCGTGACGAGTGAATGCTTTAACCACAGGGCTACCCCACCGCACCAAATGATACATGAAGAATGTCAGTGTCTGATCACTAAAAGTTCAATAGAACCAGGGAATCCAATGGGTTTATGACCTCAGGTGTCACGTACGTTGTTCGGGTAGGGTCCACGTTATGTCGTGCACGAGCTTTGAGGATTCCCTCGTACAACAATGTCCGTATCGTACCATGTGCTGCCTCGATGACTCGCACCTGTTGTCAGTACAGGACTGTGCCCGTCATTACGCTCCATGTCTACAGACACATAGTGTTCGCTCAAGCTGACCCCTCGTCCAGGGTGGAAGGGTTTGGCGTACCCATCACTTCCAGACGATTTCCGTCCAGGTTTGGAAGAACTGTGACATGCTGGATGTAAGTGAGTCGTATGATATGGTGAACATAGATCCGCCACTCTGCTGAATTCTGCTATGGAGTCAAGGCATGGAGGTGTTTCTGTTCTGCCTGGATTTCTTAAACGATAAGGAGACATATTTCAATAATGTGAACATTCTTCCGGACTGTACATACATAATCAGTTATAATTTACATTTTGAATGAGATGAAAATATTAATAGAAGAAATTATTTGAAAATACTCCAGGTTTAACCGTCGGGTACAACATACATTATAAGCTACCATTAATTACACTGAGACATGCCAAGACGTTATAGTCAGATTGATTGATTGAAACATATTTTATTCAATTAAGAAACGGATTGGGCACAAGTGATCCAACCTTAAATAAGCCCTCTCCACATAGTTACAAGTGTATATTACAAAAAAGTTCAACAAGAGGCAGACAAAGGGTATAGATATGTACAGACAGAGTTATTTAAATCGTTTAGTGTTATGGATGTAGATATGTACACTTTTAAAAACATTTAAGATAAGACTATGTTTCAGTCCTCACTAGTTCGTATGTCAGCAATCCCATGAAACTCTGTACAACATGTGTCTACTGGGACACACACTCTACAACAACCTCAGAAAACTATTACAAAGTAAGAAGCAGGTAATAACCGAACGTGTACCTGCAGGTGATGCACGTGTTGATACTGGCGAGCAGGAGCAGGCATAGGAGAAGGGAGATAACCCCTGCCAGCGCTACGTAAGAGGCTACGAACAAAGATCAGTTGATAAGCTACGTATCCTGCAAATTATCAAGTATGAAGTACGCTATAGAGAGTAGTTCATGTTTTTTTGTAAACATAATGTAGAAAGTGTGGTAAGTTTCAGTAAAGGGACTGATGGAAATCCTGACAAACGGGTAATATAAGGTAATACAGCCATACATATGTGATCGAATGTTGGCTTCAAATTGAAAGAACAGTTTCAAAAATATGTTTTCTTTAAATCTATCGCTGACTTTTTTTCAAATCCAAATAGCTTAATCGTCCTTACTCTGCGAGTGAATTATTACTGCCAGGAGCTCCGCCGTGTCAAGTACATTTACCTGTTGTTGGTAACACAGTGGTCGCGATACAGTCAGTCCGTGCTTTCTGTTATCAAGACAATCCTATCACTGCGTGAATGGCAGGTTTTATGTAGAACATATAGATCGCCGGGTCTACTGTATTCTATTCTGATACCCCTGAACTAGACTTGCCCAAGTCTCAATAAGTTTAAATGAAAATTTATGAAAAAGTATAATTAACAGACTGGCATCTGTACTATCCGCTTATCTAGACTTGCCTCTTTGAAGGATAGAATTACTATACATCCATGGCTCAGCATTCAGTACAGCGTTGGACCTAGGTTACCCCTGAACGTCAGACGGTTGTAGCGTTGTATTACCACTGCTGTGCCTGTTTTAACTTCTTTAAAGGATTCAAATAATTTAATCTCAATTAAATTGCCTTTTGTCATATGTGTTCACTCCCTACAGCCGCTGAAGGACAGTACACATTTAAAAGGTCCTAAAGTATTACACTGGTTATTCAGCAATACGCACATACTGTTTGTCTCACCTGTGCGGACTAGCTCCGTGTTAGCCGTGCTCACAGCAAGCAACCAGTCGACAGACCAAGTGGAGTTCATTGCCGAACTCTTTATCAGTATAAAGAAACAGATACCGATATGTACATGGGTCAAATTAAACAGGGCAGGAGAAATATTTCCTTGTCAGTACAATGTTTGGTGATTACGTGAGTGGCGTGTCTAACATCCATACTTTATCCTTTAAAATGTCACGTGATGTGGGGCGGTGGGGGTAGCCCAGTGGTTAAAGCGCTCGCTCGTCACGCCGAAGGTCTGGGTTTGATCCCCACATGGGTACAATATGTGAAGCCCATTTCTGGTGTCCCCCGCCGTGATATTACTAAAAGCGGCGTCAAACCCAACTCACTCACTCACTCCTGTGATATCACACTGTTCGCATAAGAAACTTTACCTTGCATTAGATGAAATGGCAAATTATTTTTATGTTTTAGTCGCTTTTGTGTTGCATTTACATGGAGCAACATATCCATAAACCGTCACTTGTTTCAGCTTCCTGGGTTGTATAATGAGACATATGACCGTAATGGCATCCTCCCATTACGCAGACAGGCAGTTCGCAGACAACTTAAAACAACAACATTTCCGGTTCAATGACCACATTACCTACTACCTGTTACCTACACATTATAATAGAAAAGTCCAAATATATGCACAAGAAAAACAACTGAAGCTATATTATTTACTTTGAAAGGTGGCCGAAAAGACATTAATTTGAATTTTGATTGTTGCAATATGAAAACAGTTGATTTTCATAAACATTAGGGTTTAACCTTCTCGTCTAACTGGAGTTGGCATCCAAAGGATAGATGTTTGATTGAACAAGCCAATAGATTAGAAAAACTTAACCTTGAAGCAGCTAGAATAGTCACTGGTCTTCCAAGACATGCATCTTCCAGTTCGTTGTATGGAGGAAGTTAAATGGAGGAAGTTAAATGTTTAGCTCACAAGATTAAAATATATGACGAGTACACGTAATTATAATGATTTATTTAGAATACATGTAAAAAGCGACACATCATGTCAATGTGTCCTTGGATGTGAGAATGTTTTTCATTACTTCCTTGAATGTCCATTTAATACTATTCAAAGACATAAACTGTTAAATCTTTAGAAATATTGTTACAAATAAAAAAACTGATTGGTATTAATCTTATATTACAGGGCAAAACAACTTTGAGTAGAGAAGACAGATTATCATTGAATCACAACAAAGTTGTATTTACACACAATCAAACATGTCACTAACGAACCTGTTTCAGGCTCACTCTAATCTTCTCACTCGACAGTGGACTGTTCCATTATACCCGTAGGTGTTACCCTAATTAGTGAGTGAGTGAGTTTAGTTTTACGCCACACTCAGCAATATTCCAGCTATATGGCGGCGGTCTGTAAATAATCGAGTCTGGATCAGACAATCCAGTGATCAACAACATGAGTATCGATCTGCGCATTTGGGAACCGATGACATGTATCAACCAAGTCAGCGAGCCTGACCACTCGATCCCGTTAGTCGCCTCTTACGACAAGCATGGGTTACTGAAGAACAACATTCTAACCTGGACCTTCACGGGTATACCCTAATTAACCATCAAGTTCAGTGTCTGTCAATCGACTGTATGTCAATTGTGTGTCTGTCATTTAGGAGATAACCACGGTAACCTGACACGTGCGAAACACTGCTGGAAACATCATGATGTGGAAGGGGGTCAGCCATGGCCAGCGTGACACTGAATGAATAAGTAGTCGGCATGGACTAGTCGTGTAAGAGTTATGTCCCTTACTTGAGACAGGATCGTCTTACTATGGGTTTGAAATCGAAATTCGTCTTATTTTGTAGAAACTCAAGTTCAGTTGACTGGCAATCTAGGAGCGTGAAGTGTAAATATGGCATTATAGTTCACGACCTACGTACGCATCCCGGCATGTTAGGGACCGTTCATAATTTATGGCTAGTTGGGTGATGATGATTTTAAGGGAGGGTCACCTATTTTGTTCTGGGGAGTTAGGGGGGATCAGCAATTTTGTACACATGTACAAGAGGGGTCAGCAATTTTGTTCATAAAAGTATTAAAAAGATATGCTCAGATGTTATAGGAAGGGGAGGGAGTCATTGATTTTGTACATGATATGCAAGGGGGGTTACTTACTTTGTATGTAAATTTTCCGGGGGGGGGGGTCATTCACATTGTACATGCTTCTGCATAAAAATCATCATCATCATCATCATCATCACACACACACACACCCTTGCCATAAATTATGAACAGTCCCTACTCTGGCACTTGTGATATGCTAAAATAATGTTGTAAAAAGGGGAACCCTTCTCAGTCGGTATATTCAAAGGAAGCCAAGTTGTATCCGGTGTGGCATCCAGTCACAAGGAGATTACAGGCAGGACGGAAGCGCTGTCCTATATGTTACTACTGATACACGACGTCCTTGTGACGTACAGAGACACTTAAGTAAACATATCCCCAGTAAATAGAGCCGTCTCTTGTCCCTTGTCAAACATGTCCTTTAAGGAATGTGCGGAAGCCTTCTGATGATATATGCGAAACATTGTATAAATAAATACATTGAACAAAGTACAAACCATATGACTAACCCACCATTCAGTAATCGATACTGCGAACAAAGAGTAAGCAGCAAAATATTAAGATATCACTCACACGATAACATCAGTTATGATCAACAAATAAAGCTTTATTATTTAATTGAAGCCACATTGCCATGGACTACACATTCTTCGTGTCTGAAATTACACAAACATCATAACCATATCCATGACGGCACTGTGTATCACTTGAAAAGAATAATCAAAACAAAGAAATGAAGATAAATAAACACCCTGAAAGACCTAATCTTTTTTAAACGGCATAGTTGATCTAATTGACCAGATTTCTCTTTGAAAAAGACAAAGTAACTTCAATATGTACAGAAACACCATAAATCAGGGACATATCATCACTGAACAACCTCCCTTCATTCTCACGTGTCCAGGAAATATGTGTGACAAATTCTGTATTTTCTGTATTGACACGGCCAGGTGTCATCTGAACAAGATTCACGTTAAAAACTTGTACAGTGGAAATACGTGGGTGCTAGTGGTTTGTTGGGTGAACTAACCCAGGGACTCTATCTCAGCGAGGGTCACCTGTCAGGAAGTAGTAGTTAGTTTCACGTCAAAACGTCCAACCAGTTTTGTGTCTGACATTAAGGTCAGCTTTCACGAAGAAATGTTAATCAGTATATATTGTACTGCAAACTGACCGCGAGATGTATATTATGCTGGGACGTTCTGAACAATTCTACAATTTGCCCCACTGGTACGTTGTGACAGTTGTATTTCCACTGTGTGAATCATGCGGAAATATTTCACAAACGTATTGTAAATCAACAAAAATCTTACTATTTTTACGCAGTTTGAGTCATAAACATGTGCGCTCACTTCTTCCAACATTACATTGCATATGCCCTCAAACAAGGAAAACATAACTAACATAAAATATGGGAATTTGAAGTAGTCTAAACGATTTTGATGACAAAACAGTGAACAAGGCACATACATGATACACATATCATCCAGTTTTCAGGCTTAGCAAAAAAAATTCAAACACTCAGTTTGAGTTACGTTTACATGAATGTCCCATATCATTTCGCGACACCTAGTTGCATTTCTTATATACAAATACACACGTTTCCTATTGCTTCCTAGTGAGAACCGGTGTTGATATCCTATTACTTGTGTGCTTTAACAACATGGACATGCATATGATATAGCTACATTCATTCAGTGTGCACTAATCTATAGGGTACAGAGAACTGTAAAAATACAAACAAATGTTGTGTAGTTACGCCTGATTAACACCCACACGCACACACATACAAGCACACACACACACACACACACACACACAAATACATACACACTTTATATATACATACCTTGTCTACTGTCATATGCATGACCTAATTCTAAAAAATGTAATTTATTTTCAGTCAGCTATGAATCTGTTACAAAAATGATATAGAAGAGTTCCGGTTATTTCCTATGATCACGCTCGATTGTGTTTAACAATTTTGAACACAATCACTTACATCCAGACTGCTATATATAGAAGGCGTTTTGTTATAAGACGGAACTACATACAATGGGGCCCATACAATGCACGCATTGCTAAGCCGGCAGCGTGTGGCCAGCATGTCAAAGATGTAATACATCGGCAAGTCATCAGTCACACTGCAACACGAACTAGAAGGGAAAATTGTTTATGTGGCACTGTCGGTGTAAGAATGATCCTAGTGTAATACATTGCACATGTGTATGATCAGTGAGAGTCAGTGGTGTGAAAAAACAGACGTCAGGCAGGTTCTACAAAGAACTACAGTTCGTTTGAGACAAAATGGTACCGATGAATTGCAATCTAACACAAAAACAAATAGACATAAAAGAATCAAACCAACGCGGACTGCAATAAAAACAACAGACCAACTCTAGAAAAAAATCGCAAAAATACAAAAGTTGTTTAAAACACTGTCATCATTTATTTGTGCGTCTTCCCAGTTGGTTACAAGGGCGCGGTGGCAACTAAAGGAACCGCACGAAAAGCGAGACAACTTATATATTTTTGTGACAAAAATTCTCTATTTTTTTTCTAGAGTTGGTCTGTTGTTTTTATTGCACTCCGCGTTGGTTTGATTCTTTTATGTCTATTTGTTTTAGTGTTAGATTGCAATTCATCGGTATCATTTTGTCTCAAACGGACTGTACAGCCTTATGAAGCTTTCTAATACATCTTGAACCGGGGAGATGGAGTGTTTACTGAAGTCTTTACGATAGCTGTAAAGTGGGAACCAATTCTTGTCCCTATCAACACAATTCTCAATTCAGCTTACAAGCACTGTCTAGTACACCAGTAATATGTATTTTATATATCCTTGTTACTAAATATGAGTATTCTACTGGTCAGGTACATGTAGTCTGTCATATATCTTGTCTACAGGTCTCCTGTCATATTGTGGCAGCGTTGCGGTGTCATAATGGTTTTCTTCCTTAGAATCATCTGCTGCGATATTTCCACGTAGATGACTGTACACGGTCGTGGTATCCGACGTGGCAGCTTTCCCCTCACTGCCCATTACACCACACAGAATGTCATATTCTCCGTCCGGTCTTCCGTCAATGCCACCGTTCCCAATGCCGGCTTCTGTCGAACTAACAACCATCTGTACATCTGCCAGTTTTGGTTCTTCTACTTGAGCAGGATCCGGGTGTTGTTTGTGATACATGGCGCTCTCAGCCCTCACGGCATACTTGATGGGTTTCTTGTTGCTGAAGGAAGACAACAGGGCATGCAGAGAAGGGTCAAATGGACAGATGAGAGGTTGTTGGGTGAAGGTAATAGAGATTTTTGTTTTTATCTAATAGATACCTACTTATATTTACAGACGTATTGACTCATTTACAAAAAACATAAATCGTACCGTTTAATGATGCAGATGCCTGAGAGGATGAACACAGCAACGAGAGCCACTATAACACAGGTCGCAGAAGCGATGACTGTAACCAAGAACAAATATGAAAATGGATATTTTGTATGAGCTCATGTACGGTCACTGTTAAATTTTATAAATTAAATGTGAAACACCATTATATAGAAAAGGGGTGACTGAACATTTGCAGCTCGAACTTAATCTTGTGATATTAATTACTTTACCCACTTAATAACACAATCAATTTTGAAGAAAAAGATGATCAAACGACAATGTAACATTAGATGGTTTTACAGTCATCAATAGTACCTTTACTGTTTGAACCTTGGGTTGTCGTTGCCAAATTCAGTGCTGTCGATCCTGAAGATCCTGGAACAACACACAAACAACTAAGGTGCGTCCAACTTCCTGTCTTTGTGATTATCATACAGTAGCACAATCATGGCCCTGGGAACCAATAAGTGACGCAAGATACATGACCATAATATCTATATATGACTTTCATATGCAACTTTGTGCCCTTACCGAAATAGAAACCTACGACCACAAGTTCCTGGAAAGTCCAAGGGAGGCAACTAAATGCATGCACAACATACTGTGATACCCCTTACTCGGGTAAAAGTATACCAACCGTTGTCTGTAAAACTACAAAATCCCATTATCTACAGGAAGGTAAATTTGCACTTGTCAAGGAAAAAGTGGGTAAACTGTGATGCAAGAGAATCGTCGATACATTCTTACATGCCTTGCATTTGTCATCATTACCAAACTGAATATGTGAAGCACAAATCGAGAAGTCTTTTTTGTCAATATCGCCCTGTTTTGTTTGTCCATATTGCCCAAACTTATTGTCAATTTAAAACAATGCTACATGTTGAGTCTTATCTTTCAATTGTCATTCCACAGCATTTAAGAACTGTTATCTGTAATTTCAGGTGTAATAATTTCAGGCTAGCAATTGAAACAGGAAGGCATTGCAATTTAACTGCTAGTGAAAGATTTTGCTTATATTGTCATAATAAAAATATTTCTTGTTGAAGATGAATTTCATGTCTTGATGATCTGTCAGCGTTATGAAGCCGAAAGAAGAGAATGTCTTCTTAATAGCATAAGAAATAGCCCTTCTATAGACAATTTTGTTAGAATTATGTCAAGCACTGATAAGATTGTGATATTAAGTTTGGCAAGGTTTTTATATAAAGCCTTTAGGATAAGAAATACAACAAATTATAATTAGATCTTCAGTACATATGCTGAAATATTGTGTGATAGTTTAGTTAGCATCTCTGTTATTTTACCAGAGCTTTTTGTTTGCTTGTCTCGTCCGATGACACGATACCTGTAATATGACCAGCATGAATACACCTGTTAAAACCCTTTTGTAATATGGGCCATGGCCTTGAATACTCGAAATAAATTGTCTGTCTGTCTGTCAAAACATATTCGTTTTCGCCTATCAATGTGAATACCACATAGCGGACACAACACCATTTGTATTTTGAGAAGTACAACTGTGTACAACACTTGTACCTTGTGTAGATGTGTCCGTGGATCCCTCCCGACATGGTACGTACCAATCAGGACCTGTCAATATAGGATAAACATGACACACAATAGGAACCTTCTGTCGTATACTATTTATCATGCTGCATCCACTGAAGGCATGTCATATGAGTTACATAATTTTGTAACTCGTCACTTCGAGCTGTGTTAGCCAACGGAAGGAACTTAGTCAGTTTTTCAACGTGTTGTCAGTGAGTACTGTTACATACTTCACATGTTTTTATAGGTGCATCTACCATTGGCCCTGTCCTCAAAATATGTTAGTTTGGTGTATATCTTATATGCAATCACGTTTAGGGACCGTTCATAATTTATGGCTAGGGTGTGTGATGATGCTTTTTATGGAGAAGCATGTACAATGTTAATTGCCCCCCAGAGAAAAAATATATGTACAAAATAAGTGCCCCCATGCATGTCATACACAAAATCAACTGCCTGTTGCTGGACCACGCCAGCAGGGAGAAACCGAGCTCGATCTGGATGACGTATTTCGCGAGTTTTCGATCCTACAATGAACCCCTCTATTCGGGCGACAGTCCAAATATCTGATTGTTCCTTAGAATTGTAACGTTCAGAACGTCATTGTTATTGTTAGAAAATTACTTCCTCCTGTGGGATGAGCCAGACACAGTCATTTGGAAAATCAGTTTTCTATCAGCTGCTTCAGAGGTCACACGGTACAGACCTTTGTGAGACTTTTTCTCTGTTTTTGTTGTTGTTGCTTGTTTGCTTTAATTGTTAGCAGTTTTCGTTGTCGTGAGAGAACAATATCTTGAATATGAATTGCTAACTGTAGTTTGCATATAGCTGTGTTTACCCAAGTTTACCCAATAATCAAACAAACATGGTCGCCCTGGTGCACGGCAACACAGAGGGTAGATGAGACCGTATACCCTCGTGATAAGGCTCCCTCTTATTGTGTGACTACAGTTTGCCTGGAGGAATGGCTCCCCGTGCGCTGTATGGCAGGTCGTACATGCTTGTTTAGTACAATATATAGGAAGTGTTTCCACACTGAATATGGTTTATCATCATATGCATAGGTGCATATATCAGTGACCGTCTCCGACAGTAAATTATAAATATGTTGATGCTTGTCCTCATCACACCTGAGTTCAGGGTATATGGTATTAAGAACACTTTCATCCCTTGGAAGGCTGCTCTACCAGCATGTCGAACTGAGTATATTCTAAGCCAAGAAAATGCATCATTTCCTGTAAATTGTGATAGGATTCTCTCTGTCAAAATACTTACTGGTACTTGTGTTCCCTTTGCAGACATAATAGTTGGTGTCACTACAGTTTGCCGGGAGGAATGAGTCATTGACAGATGTCTTGCAGGTGGTTCCTGTTGGTTTAAACATACTATTCGGTGAATGTATAAAGGTGGTTTGTAACCATATACATGTTGCGTTTTCAACAATGGTTGATCACTGTCAGTTTACAGCAAACTAGTTTTACTGTTCTAGCCTGGTGGCGCACGAAACAGAATTCTAGACCTGTAGTTCATTGTAACAGCTTTATATCAATGAAAGTTAAGTTTCAGGTTTACCATTGTTCCCTATCCATATGGTGGTATGTTCAGCTCTGGCTTTCAGTAATACTTCCCGCCGATGGTTGTAGCTAAATCCAGTAAAGTGAATATAGTGGCGTTCTTGTTGATGCAGTCTGTCTCTGCTGCCGACCAATTGAGAGCAACACAGGAGGATTCATATGTAATGTAACCTGAGGAAGAGACACAATGACATTTACTTAGTTTCAGCACATACGTCACACCATGTCGGGTATTTCTCTGTAGGGAACACAAAGAAAGTGTGTAAGTAAATTTCAGTGAAATCTGTGTATCTGTTGTCAAACTCCTCGGATCATTTGTACTTATCTCATTTGATTTTAACTAGTAGTTATGGCGAACACCCCATCGAAAACACAGGGCTCGACCCAGGCTGCTTTACTCACCGTCCTATTCTAACTAACACCAAAGAGTCGTATATTAGACATGAACACCAAAGGAGGGGAGTCCGTCAGTGGTTAAAGCGTTGGCTCGTCACGCCGAAGACCCGGGTTGATTCCCCCATGATAGGAAGTAAGTTATCTGTTGAGCGGCGAAAACTATATAATTCAGTCTTTTCGGTAGGGAGTTATCTGTTGATTAATATAATTCAGTTTGGATATTACATGAACTTGGGAACAGAGCTCACAGACCGAGGATCACACACAAGACAATTCCCAGATTCAATCTAGAAGTGGACGCTGGGTAAGATATCGTCAACATGATTGGATGCTGTTCACCACTCAACTCATTCTCACAAAAAAACTCGTATATTGTATTAAATCATACCAACACATGATATTAGTCATGTTCAAGGCTCAATGCATTCACAAAGTAGAAGTGTTTACTAGTAGAATACACAGGAAAGTTATTACCAAATGTAATATACATGAAGAAAATAACAAAATAGTTTCGTACAATTGATGGTGACAGGTTGACCATTGCTGCTCTTGAGACTTGACGTGGAGTTTGTTGGAGATTCTGAAATATATTAAAACTGTTTATGTGATGTTTTCTATTATATATAATACACATTTGCAAGTAGTAAAAATGCTGAAGATATACCGCCAGATATGTGTTGTTTTATTAGATATTATCTAATGCACAACTGCAAATAGTGAATATGCTGAAGATACGTCGTGATAGGTGCTGTTTTATTAGATATCTAATGCACAACTGCAAATAGTGAATATGCTGAAGATACGTCGTGATAGGTGCTGTTTTATTAGATATCTAATGCACAACTGCAAATAGTGAATATGCTGAAGATACGTCGTGATATGTGCTATTTTATTAAATATCTAATGCACAACTGCAAATAGTGAATATGCTGAAGATACGTCGTGATATGCTGTTTTATTAGATATCTAATGCACAACTGCAAATAGTGAATATGAAGATACATCGTGATATGGCTGATATCTAATGCACAACTGCGTGATATGTGCTGACATCGTCAGATGGCTGCTGTTGCATTAAATATCTAATGCAATAACTTTTATTAAATATCTAATGCCCAACTGCAAATAGTGAATATGCTGAAGATACGTCGTGATAGGTGCTGTTTTATTAAATATCTAATGCACAACTGCAAATAGTGAATATGCTGAAGATACATCGTGATAGGTGCTGTTTTATTAAATATCTAATGCACAACTGCAAATAGTGAATATGCGGGAGATACGTCGTGATAGGTGACTCTTGATTTATTGGATATCTAATGACCAGCTACAAATATATGCTGAAGCTGTACTGTGATATGTGATGCTTTATTATCAAATAGATTACCTTTCACGGTGAATATGTGGATGATATACAGTGATATTGAACTCGTATATATATTAGATATCTAGTACATAGTGAGTGAGTGATTTGGGTTTTACGCCACTTATAGCAATATTCCAGCAATATCATGGACACCAGAAATGGGCTTCTCACATTGTACCCATGTGGGGAATCGAACCCGGGTCTTCGGCGTGACGAGCCAACGCTTTAACCACTAGGCTACCCCACCGCCCCTATCTAGTACATAACTGTAAATAGTGAGTATGGTGTGGTGACAGTTTTACCGTTATTGCTATTTGAACTTGTCGTCATGAACTCTGTAATATTTGATGAAGATTCTGAAATAAATCCACAAAATTGTATTTGTTTTGTTTTATTTGATATCTAATAAATAACTGTAAACAGTGAATATGCTGGGGTGAAGTTTTACCGCCATTACATCTGGACTTGTTATCGTGTATTCTGTGATCATCTTTTGTAGACTTGGATGTTACCAAACCGTCTATGTGATGTATTATTGTAGTATTCTGTATCTAGTGCATAACTGTTAATAGTGAGGTATACGTTTTTGTTCAGCCCTTCGCATGTTGTGAACCAAATAACTTTGTGTACTCGTTACCGCTGACACGACGTACGGATGATTTACAAGGTAATAGTGTTGACGAAACAAGAATTATATTCCGAAATATCTATGTCCTATACTACAGAAGCATGTGTTACTTAATGTCGAATCAGGAAGCAGTTGATGCTGGTTCGTACATAGTTCATCACCAAGTATCTGTTGTCATTAACACCTAACTCGTTGACTCTTTCGTATTATAACCTTTAGGGCTTTACTGGTCAAGCGAACTTATCAACTGACGTTAATTTCCATAACTATGAACTGTAGAAAGTGATGCTTGTAGATGCGATATCAATAGTTTTTCTGATATTCTGGTTGTTATAAACATTCATGGTTAATCAATTCTTTTATTCAGTGTCAGTTATCGATATCTACAATTACTCCAATAAAACTCAGATCAACTTGCTAAATCTAAGCAGGAAATCTAATTATAATATCACCAAAACACCTGCACTTCCACCTGTACTTGTGTCCCAGCGAGAGAGCCTCAATACACGTGACTAAAACATTACTGTCCACTCACCTGTAGTATTGTTGCTGGTAGTACTGTCTGTGTGCCACGCTATCATCAGTATCAATACTGTCAATACAGGTTTTAGACGGGAGATGGACACTGACGCCATCCTTCACACAGGCCGCTTTGTAAATACTGACTGTCAACAACTCGCGTACACGGTACATGCAGTGTGACTCAGCTTCCTGCTTCGTAGCAATTAAATGACTCGCCATGACTGTTTCAGCTGATACGGCTACATTGTGCAGGGCAATCTGATAAAAGTGCCTTATCTAAGAGGAAACAATATGCCCTCATGTATTTGATTTACAAACAGAGGATTGGTACATGTCATCTGAGTGTTACAACATGATTTAAATAACATTAATAACCTTAATACAACACACAAACCCCTTTCCACAATCCAGAAGAAACATCTGTAAAGACGATTTTACAATCGCGACAATATCATGTACATGTCTTGGTTTGTTTGTTTGTTTGTTTAAACACAGCCTAAACATGTAAATATGTTTGCTATCATTCTGTTTTCATTCTGTTGTTGGTGAACACATACGGATCACGCATCATTACATGAATCCGTGTGGTTCAAGAGGATTGCTTATTGAACAAGTTAAATAACAAACAAAACCACAGGTATGCTTTCCACGTCTAGGCTGAAAGACCTCCGCAGACATCACCCTTCTTATCTGTCTGTTGTTAACGTATCATGGTCGTGAATGGCCGGAGATTCTATACTGAAAGTGGTCCAGTCACCTTGCATACTGCCCCCAACCCCACTCCTCTATACTGAAAGTGGTCCAGTCACCTTGCATACTGTCCCCAACCCCACTCCTCTATACTGAAAGTGGTCCAGTCACCTTGCATTCTGTCCCCAACCCCACCCTTCAAGTGGTCCAACATGGACCTCTCTATGTAGTGGTGTCACCTTGCACCGAAATACAAATATGATTTTAAAGTTCCAGGTTACGGATCAATGCTGTCTGTTTAACACAGAAGGGTGACATACTTCCCATATTAACACATTATCCGTATGCTCGGTTCACAATTCTTGTCATAGCGATTTGATATAAATGAAATTAATTATGACGAATAATTCATACAGAAAGGCAAGGCCTACAGTCCACTTATTGTTTTACAGTTCCGATTTGTTTCTGAAGGGACCAGTAATCTTTTTTGAGTCAGTGGATATTGATAACGTGGTTGTTTACTGGAGCATTAGCCACAGCTTTGTAGGATCAGTGGACCAGGATGATCGTCACACGCTCACACACAAACAGATCGTTAACACAACATGTATTCAGTATCACATCGCCTTCCCTCTTCAAATGCCTGTGCCAAATTAACTTCAGTTCAACTTATCCTTTGATGTATGTTAAAAAGGCGAAACATAAAAACTATCAAAATGGATATCAATAGAATCTGTCAACGAAACGTCAACCGCCGATAGAAACACACTACATATTGCAATACTGAAGGACCAAACACTGCAACATGCGTTAATGCATATGTTGAACTTAAGAGGAAAGGAATTGCAGCATAAGACAGCGACTTAGTAACTAGGTTGTTATTACGTTGTGAGATAAGGTAAGACAGCGACTTAGTAACTAGGGTTTTATTACGTTGTGAGATAAGGTAAGACAGCGACTTAGTAAGTAGGTTGTTATTACGTTGATGAGATAAGGATAAGACAGCGACTTAGTAACTAGGTTGTTTTTACGTTGTGAGATAAGGTAAGACAGCGACTTGTGAAGTAAAAGGTAACTAGGTTGTTATTACGTTGTGAGATAAGGTAAGACAGCGACTTAGTAAATAGGTTTCAGGTTGCTTTTACGTTGTGAGATAAGTTAAGACAGCGACTTAGTAACTAGGTTGTTTTTA